CCCCTGCCCCAGCTCAGGCCAGAGAGGTGGCAAGGGAGGGGCTGAGGCTGGGAGACTGAACGGCTTTGACCTGCTTGGAAATGTGTGTCTCTGCTGAGGTCACTGTCCACACCCTCTATGTGCACTTGGAATAAATTACGGCTTCAGAACTTTCACCTGTTCCCTGAGTTCACTTCTGTTTGTCTGCTGGGGAGTGGGGCCGCCTGCTTCCTCTGCACAGGCGTGCCTCCACAACCCTCTGCACCCCTCTGACTTCAAGCACAGGGGGGCCTCGGCCTCCCCTCGGTGCTGCAGCCAGGCCTGAGGTCAGGGTCAGGGGGTCATGCCCATGAGGCACACAGAATAGTCTGCAGCAACATATGCGGCTTCCCTCAGGTCAGCTTCTCTATTAAAGCAACATTAAAAATAAACAAAAAATAATTTTCATGGAAAGTACAAGTAGCCCTGGCTGGGTGGCTCCATTGGTTAGGATGTTGTCCCAGGACAGCAAGGTTACAGGTTGGATCTCTGGTCAGGGAACATATAAGAAGCCACCAATGAGTGCGTAGATAGATAAGTGGAAAAACAAATTGATGTTTCTCTCTCTCAAAAAACCATAAATTACATAAAAAAGAGCAAGTATAAGCAGGCACTCCATTACTATTGCTGCATGCTTGAGTGAATCCGAATGTCAGCGCTCTGTAGGTGCTAAACCCACAGTGAATTAGGTACAGTCCTGGGCCTTCTCTGATGAACCCAGTGTCTCTGGAACACCCGCCACCAACTTGGCTCTGTGCTGGGGATTCAGTGGTGAACAGGGCACCACCTACCCCCGTGGAATTCACCGCTAGGTGAGGCAGGCATGGGTCAGGGGATGGAGTGGCTGGCAGGGAGACCAGGGGGCTTTTGGAATAATCCATGTAGCAGGTGCTTGCTGAGTACTACAGTGTGCTAGGCACTGAGCTACAGCAGTGAGCAAAATACAGAAAGTACCCCTCCCTGTGGGGCTTAGTCTAGTAATAGTAAGGAGACAGGCAGTCACCAAGAAGGATAAGTTACATAGCAAGTCAGAGAGCAATAAGTGCTAAAGAGGAAAGTAAGTAAGGGGATGGGAGCAATGGGGGAGGGGACAAGTGGCAAAGGCAAGGAGATGAGGGCACGAGCCATGTAGGTACGGAGGGCAGAGATTCCTAGCTGCGGGGACAGCAGGAGCCAGGGCTCCCAGGTGGGTAGTGCCTGCTACAATAGAGAGGCAATACTGGAGGCTGTGGCTGGGGTGGAGTGGGGAGGGAAGAGCAGGAGGGGACAGGTGGAGTGGGCAATCAAGGGGCTCGTAGGCTGGACTCCAGCTTCCTTGAATGATGGGGGAAGCCGCTGCGGTTAGAGCAGAGGTGACATAATCAGTCCTAAATTTTAATGGGAATTTCTCTGGCTAATGGGGTTATTAGAACAAAGTGGGGTGCAGTAAGGATAAGAAGCAAGGACTCTCAGAGGGTGCTGCTCATGGTGGCGGCAGAGTTGGGAGAAATGACAGAACTCAAACGAACTGAGGATCAGGAAGCCAAGACCATCAAAGGTAAGACTGATAAATCTGATAGGGTGACATTGAAGATAATTCATGTTTTCTCTTTTGGGTAATTGGATGATTAAATGAGGTTTCTTTAAATGTTGAATTTGACATGTCTATAAGAAATATTGGCTCGGTGGATAGAGCATCGGCCTTCGGACTGAAGGGCACCAGGTTCGATTCCGGTCAAGGGCATGTACCTTGGTTTCGGGCACATCCCCAGTAGGGGGTGTGCAGGAGGCAGCTGATGGATGTTTCTCTCTCATTGATGTTTCTCTCTATCCTTCTCCCTTCCTCTCTGTAAAAAAATCAATAAAAAAATATATTTTTAAAAAAGAAATATTCATGGATTCTTGAAAAATAAAGTAAAAGCTAAGGAAATCACCCTGGCCAGTTTTTCCCAGTGGTTAGAGCATTGGCCCAAAGACTAAAGGGTCTCTCGATTCCTGGTTAAGGGCATGTACCTCGGTTGCAGGTTTGATCCCAATCCCGGTCCCTCACATCAATGTTTCCCCCCTCTCTCTCTCTCTTCCTCTTTCCTCCCTTTTATTTTTCTCTCTAAAAATCAATGGAAAAAATAGCCTCAGGTTAGGATTAAAAATAAATAAAATATTTTAAAAAGCTAAGATCTAGGCTCCTGATAACAGCTTTGAAGGAAGTTAAAACCCTGAAAGCGCATGGGAGGACCCCAGGGCAGAGGCTCCTAACCTCTTGGGAGTCTCCCTGAGAGGTTTATAAAAGTACACCTGTGCTCACAAAATGTTACCTTCCATAGCAGAGCTTTGTTCCCAGACCTCTGCCTCTCCGGTGCCTGTGTAACCTACCCTGGGGAAGTGTCCATTTGGGTGGGCTTCTGGGCACATCAGCTTGCCCAGCCCTGGGAGAGCAGCAGTGAGCAGAGTTTTTATCAGCTGGCTTTTAATTAATGTTAAAATTCAGCCAAAGTTATCTGACCTGTTCTGAGTTAAAATAAGAGAAACCACTGTGCACAACTAGGGTATAAACCTCTGGTGAGCACCCATCAGACCCAAACAAGCTCCTTGTGCCCCATGGTTTTGCAGATCCGTCCTAGTTAAGGCTAATCACAAAAGATACACCCTGAAATCTCAATAGAAGTTTAATTCCTGCTCAGTTGGCTGAGACAGACTCTGCTCCAGACATTATTCAAAGGCATGTGCTGACAGAGCCCTCCCTGACTTCCTCAGGTCACTCCCAAGTTGCCTTGGGCTCAACCTCTAGCAGGTATATAGGGCAAGACAGAGGATCACTCATGGGAGGCTTTTATGGACCTGGCCTGGGTGACACAAAGCACTTCCATCTACATCCCTCTAACCAGGACTCACATTGCAAGGGAGGCTGGGAAATACAGTCTAGCTGTGTGCCCGGGATATAAAGGAAACATTTGGTGAACAGTTACCAGTTTCAGAAGCACAAGGGCATGGGCACATCACACTGGCATCTCTGGGCATCCTGAGAGCCCATCCTGGGCCTGGGTTCTACAGGGTGTTTGAGACAGTCCACCTCCCTCTGCTGGGCAGGGTACTCCAGGCCCCTCACATCCCAGCCCAACTGATCTCTGAGTCTCCCGTGACTCCCCAAGAACCCTGAGCCCAACGTACTCTCCACTAAAGTTGGCCTTTCCTTCACTGAACCGCCTGCCCGGAATCCTGTGCCCTTCCTCAGCCTGGTAAACTTCTCCTCCTGAAGCCGCCTTCATTGCATTATTCCTGATTCCTGTTTTTCTGGGCAGTCTAAGCAAGTATGCAGGGTGGCTCACAGGTGGGAAGGGACAGGAAGGTGGCAGCTTGAGGAGGGTGTATGGCCCAGGCAGCAGACTCCTCAATAGATAGGCAAGGACTCATTCTGTGCCCAGGCGATCTAGCTCAACTCTAGTTTTTTCTGCTCTGCAATCAGTCTGCTAAGGATCGGAATTCCTGAGAGAAAACTCAGTGGGTCCCAGTTTAGGAATTTCAAACACACGCTGTTTACGAGGTTAACAATCTTCCAAATGGGCTTCTCTCCCCCACTTCCCCATCTCGGCCAGTGGCATCACCCTCTAACCAGTAACCAGTTCCTTCCTTCCTTCTGAACTTGCCACATTACAAACCGTCAAGTGTACTTTCTAAATGGCTTTACTTCCTTCCACCGTGACCACCACCTGCCCTGTCCACATCTCCACCATTACTCATCCAAACATCAGCAACAGCCAACTCCCTCTTGGCCTCCCTCCAGCAGCCAGAGAGGCCTCTTCACCACGTCACCGCTCCGCCTACCACCCTTCTAAGGTGTCCATCCCCGTCTACAGACTGAGCTCCCTGGACTGGCTTACAGAGGCCCCAGCGGTCTCTCTGGCCTCCTCCCGACCACAGCCCCGTGCGCAGCCTCTCGAAGGGCAGGCACGGCCTCTCTCTCCCCGGTCCCTGCTCGGTGGTTTGTGCTCCCACTGCCTGGAGGCCAGCGGCACCTCGCAGACCTGGTTTGGAAGCTTTGCTCTCTCAGCTGCCTGTCCTGGTACCTGGGCCCTGCCTGCCTCATCTCCCCGAGCCTCGGCTTCCTCTTCCGTTAAGACAGATGCAGCAATGACGATGTGGTAGTTGTGAAGACTGTCGATATTCAGGCTTCCAGCTATTCGTTGAACAGATGTTTATTAGCGCCTGCTGTGCCCAGTGCCGTCCCTGTCGCTGCCGACACAGCGGTCCGGCGAACAGGGCCGCGCACGATCGATCTTACCCTCAAAAAGCCAAGAGGAGGAACGCAACTGTCAGAACAGGGAGCGCCCTTGCCTCGCAGCTCTACCGCCCCCACCTTAGCCCCGCCTCCGCCGGAGCCTGCAAGACGCACGCACGCACGCATGCACGCACGTGCCTGAGGGACCGGCCTCCGGTGGCCCCGCCCCTTCTACTCTGGACACAGCCAATGAGACCTCGAGGCTGGAACTTGGGCGCAGCCATGTGCTGGAGGCCCCGCCCCTTCCTCTCCAGAATATTAGCCAATGAGAACAAGAGGCCAGCTCCGGGGGGGCGGGCCTGTAACGGAAAGGGGCGGGTCTTCCGGAAAGCGCCTCCCTCAGGGCCCCCTGGCCTGGGGGGGGCCGACGGAGGCTGAAAAAAACCTGGCCCCCGTCCCAAAAAAGAAGGTAAATGGTTTTAACGCCCTTTG